CTGGTGACCTAGTCCACTTTGGGACAGCTCCTGGTGACCTCATCTATTTTGGGATAGCCCCACTAGGAGTTTTTGTTGACATCAAGTATAAACTGAACCTTTTTCAACTTCTACCCACCGTTCCTGGTTCTGCCCTCTGGAACCAAACTAAACAGACCCAACTTCTCCTCCACAGGACAATGGTTCAAATACTTGAACATGGTTATTATATGTTCCAGGAGTATCCAGGTTAAATATCCATCATTCCTTGAAATGATCTTCCTCTCCAATTCTGAATCAAATAAGATAGTATTTGTAAAGCGCTCAGCACAGGGCTTGACACATAGTAATTGTTTAATAAATGCTTATTTTGAAAAATTATGTGACTTAGACTGAAGACCCCCTCTGTTCATCCTCCTCTGAAGACCCTCTAGCTTATCAACATCTTTCTTAACCCATAGTACACAATACTGATGATGGCAGAGCTGTGAGACTAGCACCTCTCCATTCCTGAAAGTTATGCACCAATTAATTCAGCCCAAGATCATGTTATTTTTATATTGATGTTATATATATTACATATATTTTATATTGATGTTACAAACCCTAAAGTCCCCAGATAGTTTTCAGAACCATTGTTATCTAACTATACCTTTCCTATCTTATGCTTTTGACATTGATTGTACTCAAGTATAACACTTGACATTTACTCCTATTGAATTTCATCTTCTTAGACTGAGCCCAATGCTCCAGTCTGGTGAGAGCCTCTGGATCCATCCCTTCCAGCTTTGTGTCATCTAAAGGTCTGTTTATCCAAGTCACTGGTAAAAATATTTAACAGCATAAGGCCAAGCATAGACCCCTGGGTACTTCACAGTGACCTCTTGTTATGCTAGCATAGAACCATTAACAACAAGTCTTTGAGTCCTAGTGATCTATCCTATTCTGAATTCATCTGATTGTACTATCATTTCATCCATATTTCTCCATCTTCTCCATAGGGATAGTACGAGAATTGTCTACCTTCCTCATTCTAAGATGAAACTGAGGCCAAGAGGTCCAATGACTTGTCCAAAGTCAAACATCTAATCAGTAGCAGAGCCTCAACCTAACACCTAATCCAGTAGGCTATAGTCTAGTGGTAAAGGCAGATTCCCTCCCAATTTAAGTACTCAAAATTACAGTAGGTAGATGAAATGTGAGGGATAGTGAAGTGTCAGAGATGGACAGTATGGCTGAAAGATCAATGGGCTAAAGGCCAATATGACTTTAGCCCACTTAACCTGTTTGGGCCTCATTTTCATCTTTTGTTAAGAGAGAATATTGGACTAGATCAATAATTCTTAAACTATAGTCTAGAGAAGACTCATCTTCCTGAGTTCAAATCTGGCCTCGGATACTTACTAACTATGTGACCCTAGGAGAGTCACTTAACTCTGTTAGCCTCAGTTTCTTCATCTATAAGATGAGCTGGAGAAAGAAATGGCAAACCACTTCAGTATCTCTGCCAAGAAAACCCCAAATGGGATCATAAAGAGTCAGACACAACTGAAATGACACAGCAACAAACCCACATAAACAAAAGCTCTTGGGAGGTGGAGGCCCTCATTTTTTTTAGCATGTAAAGGGATCCTGGGACCAAAAGTAATGATCTCTAAGATTCCTTCCAGCTCTAATATTCTATCATTCTATGTTCTTTTTAAAGGTGGGAGTTGAAGGAAGGGCAGAAAAGAAACATGGTCATTTGGTGTTATGCTTCAAGAAAACTCAGAGACTGTTTATTTCTTTTATTCTTCCCTGGCTGCAGAGAATTACCAAGGAATGGCTCACGGAACCTCAATACATTCCTCCAGGACCCAACCATTCAACTCACTCTCCTTTTCTTCATTTTTAGGACATATTTTGTTGTCTTAATTGAAAGCCCTACACACTTCTGATCAACGGCTGTCCCTCCTAAGAGACTATTGAATCCAAGGTCCCTTTGGAAAAGCTTCATCAGCACTAATTAAGTCACCATCCTAACCCAAATTAATTAGATTTTTTAAATGTTGCCAACACCCGTCAAGGTTAAAATAGGCTCTGACATCTCCTTAGACCTCATGCTGGACCTTATAAAATCACACTTGGAAGATACCTGAGAGGTCAGCTCTAGCCAAAGCTCTGAAAAATGACTTCTGAAATTCTACCAATAACTCATATAAAGTCTTTTCTCTTCCCAAAGAGACAGACTTTCAGTTTCCACACAAAGATGAAAAAACAAAACATCGTAGGCTCAGAGATTTAAAGCTAGAAGGGACCTGAGACCGTCTAATCCAACCCCTTCATTTACAGATGAGGAAACTGAGGCCCAGAGATGTTATGTGACTTGACCAAGGTTGCTTAGGCAGTAAGAAATCAGACTTACAAAAGGATAACACAGTATTAATAGAAATATGTTTGTTTGTTTGTTTTTTTAACTTTGAATGGGACCAGTCTGGAATGGCATTTTAAGTTTTCCTTAGCTTAGTCTCCCAACTCTAAGAAGGCCTATTTCACTTTTTTTTTTGGGAAGGGGCATAGAAAACTGAGAGAACTAGACTGATAATTATATTTATAGGGAACTCTTCATGAACAAACTTCCTTGAACCCAGGTTTTAAAGTCTGGCTCTCTATCTAATCCACCATATTTCATATTTTACTTCTGAAAACGAAACACAATACTCTAAGACTTCTAGTTTAAAACCATTGATGGAAACAACAGAAATGTAAGTCCTTGTACCACCAGTACCAAGGTCTCCTAACAAAGCTCTCGTGACTAAATTTATCAGCCCATTGTAATGGTCTAATGTTGATCTTGATAAAAACATCAGTCCATCTGAAATCCAAGGTGGTTTATCTTATTCTTATAAAGATACTGTTCTGTATTAAATATATAATATCTTCACCTAATATCACCTTGTTTCCACACAGGTCCTTTCTATAGAGGAACTCAAAGCCTTCTGAAGGTACAAGACAGGAAGGGAGTATTTTTATCTCCATTTCACCAATGAGAAAACAGCCTCGGGGCATAAACCAGTGAGTCAACTCTGGAGGCAGCAACAGAAACCAAGTATCAATATGACCTTGAAACAAATCCATTCCAATGGGGAAAAGAAGAGAAAAATTGGGAATGACACTTGTTTTAGCCCTAATGAGACTCCAGATAATGTAGCCTCTCAAAAGAGTAGGAATAACTGTCAATGCTGAAGTCCTATTTGGCAAGTTACCGTACCAACCTTTATAGGATAAACTGGCTGCTTTTGAGAATCCTGTCTCCAGCACAAACTGCATCCGCTTTGCATTATTTCTTTATGCAATTGATAGAAATTTGAACATTTCTCCCACAGGAATCCATTATATTTGCCCAAGTTGTTATATAGTATTGCATTCCATTTGTAATTTGCACTTGTAAATTATTTATTGGAAATGGAATCTATTCAACAAGATCATGGTCAAATAATTTTTAAAGATATGCCACTTACATATTCCAGTGTCATCAGAAGAATCAATATGCTTTATAAACTAATAGGCTTACGAAATAGAGACGTAAGGTCAAAGCTTGAGGTGAGAAAAGAAAAAATGGAGCTGGAATGGTTCCCCATCGATGACAATTGGCCATTGAAGACAGTCATTCTCAATCCCGACCACTGCTATCACTGTACTGTGTTATATCCTGTTTTTGCCGCCTTTTTATACATGCCTTTTTTGGCTTTGTGGGAAGCAGTGGGCATAGTAAGAGCAGAAATAATAACTCTTCCCCTAGAAGAATATAAGCTACCTGAGGTCAAAAGTTCCCCAGTGCCTGGCACATTTAGAGGGAGGGGACCAGACCTGTAATTTCATCAGTTTGGAGAAGTCTCAGTGAGGGACTTCTGCTGTCAATGCCGATTGGATGGAAGAATGGAATAAACATTTCTTAAGTGGCTACTATGTGCTAGGCACAGCGCTGAGTGCTTTACAAATATTATCTCATTTAATTGGCACCTTATCTGTACCTTGACATTTTAAGAGTGCCAGTGGTGCATTTGACTATTCACTTGTCCCCTTGTCCCTCCCCAATTGTAGGACTTTATGGTGTTTCCCTCTCACCCCCCTGGCTACTTTTCCTTTCTTTCTGTGTGTTGTCTTTTCCCCTCCCAGATTGATTTTTTTTTTTACTAGGTAAAAGAGACCATTCTCTGTCTCATTTCTTACCTAGCCTTAATTTACCTAGCCTCATTTCTTACTATTGCTTCAAACAACCTGAGACCTAGGAAAGACCTTAGCTTAAAAAAGCCAAGATCTCCCACTGCATTAAATGCCATCTCCAGGCATCTTGATCTATATCTTGCCATTCGACCAGATGTCTTTGAAGGAGAGAGTGAAGCTGGTAACTTTGCACATCCCTGCCTCACTTAAATTCCATTCACTTGCAAGTCATGGCATCACTTTTCTGTTGTCATGGTCCTCTTCAAAAAGGAAGGACAAACAAAAACACTGCTCTTAAAGTTTTGGGAAGTTGCCTGAGGCACTGAGAGTAGAACCTTTGTCTTTCTGATTCTAAGACCAGCTCTCTCTTTCTCCCTGTACTCAGTAAGCATGTAATAAATGCCAATTGAATTCCATTGCCTTGAAGAAAAGAAAGGCAAAACTTTAATTTTGACATAGTTTATGAAACAGAAGGTAGAATTAAGACCCTCCCAAAACAGAGTCCCCCCCCCAACCTTGCTTTATCACCTCAAGCATCAGTGGTGGTATTCTACACCGTTTGTACATACCTACTTTATGGATGATCAAACTGAGGAGCCCTGAAGACTTGGAGAGAATGTTGTTTAGACTTACTGGAAGTAACTGAGAAGCAAAGCCAGGAGCTTTGACCATTTAACCCCCCCAAATATGAAATCTTAGAGTAAAATCCCTCCCCTGAAAAGTTGCTATAAAGGCTCACTGAGGGCACCAGTTCTTATATTCCTTATGAAAACTGCATCTGAGTCTCAAAATTAGAAGCCCTGGGGTCTACTCACATTTGTGGGAGAGGAGCACATCAAATGAATCTGCCCACCTTGTAGCTTCTTCTGTAGATAGCCTCCTGGAACAGAAGAAACAACATTCTGGAATACTATCCACAAAGCCCGCTCCCCGCCTCTCCTTTGGCTGGCACAAAATAACACAAAATGGAAAGTTGAAATAAATGGATTATTCAATTAATTAATCAAACTATTTAAGTCAAGGATCTATGACTTTACTTGCACTGGTAGCAATCAAAACCCCTCTATGTCTCCAAAGATGCTTTTTGAAAGCTGACTATTGAGCCAGGAAGACAGGAGTTTCAGAGCTGCCTCTGATACATACTATCTCTGTGATGCCTACTTAACCTCTCAGTACTCTAGGCTTCTCTTTACAACTCTTAGTTGGGGAGAAAGGGCCAACCTGCATTGGTAGAAAGAACTTCCTCCCCTAGGAGCTCCCTATAATAATGAAATCACAGGTCTGATCCCTATTGGGACTATCCCGAAGGCCCCTAAATTCATCCCCTTTGGGGCAACCTGTCATTGATCCTCTCTGAACTCAGTGAGGCGAGACTTAGAGCAACCTGTTGCAAAACCCATACTCAAAGCCTTTTCAGTTTGATAGGACCTTCCAGATCTTATGCCCTCATTGCATTTTCTTCTAGAACTCAGAATCCCCCCTATGCTTGAGGGAGGCATTGGTCAAGAGTTTCAGTGGAGAACAACTCGAAATAACCTGAAGAAATATCTCCCTTTGCCAACCTAGTGCTTTAGGACAGCTGAAGGAGATATATGCTAAAACTTAAAGATTGTATCCAAAAATCTGCCCCTGAACACATGCGCACTTTTAAATCAGTTATGGGGCAATGTAGAACCCACTCATGGCGAGCATTGGTAGGCTGCAATATATGACCAACAAGGAACCCTGAAAAAGAAAAGCCAAGGATGCCACCAAGGCAATGTATGACCAAAAGAGAAGGTGGGCTGGGCTGGGCAGAGCAAGGGATGGATGACAGGTGAGTAACTGAAGTACTCCACTGGCACCTTTGAAGGATCAGTAAAAATCAAGAAAGGCCTTCAGCACATAGGGTGTGCTGAATTGATTAGATTAACATATTTTTATTATTTATTTACTTAATACTTTAAGCAAGTTTCAGTTTCTTAGTTTCAAGGTCTAGGGTCTCAGATTTGATACTAACAGAAAGGGGACAATAAAAAGATTCCCTCTCGTCATCTCCCAGTCATTATTCCTGACGCTTCCCTAAAGGGGAAGAGAGACCAAACAAGATTTTCATTCATTCCTGAGAAAAATGAATGTTTCTTTCACAAGTGCTCAGAGCTGATATAGTATTGTTGGGGGGAAAGGGAAAGAGAGAATACAGAACCTGTAGTACAAAGACCTGAATTTCAGTCTTGGTTTAACCACTTACAGTTGTATGACCTTGGGCACATCCCTTAAAACAACAGCTAGCATTTACTTAGCACATTAGCACTTGAAGATTTGCAAAGAGCCTTACAAATATTGTCCCATTTGATCCTCATAATAACCTTAGAAGGTAGGTGCCATTATTAGCTCCATTTTACAGATGAGTAAATTAAAGCAGATAGAGGTTAAATGATTTGCCCAGGGTCACACAGCTAGTTACGTGTCTAAGGCTGTATTTAGACTCAGGTCTTACTGACTCCCAGGTCTAGCACTCTGTCCGCTGGGCCACCTAGCTGTCTCTGAGTCAGTTAACTCACCCATAAAATGGGATTAATATTACTTTACTACCTCTCTCACAAAGTTTGGGGAAGGGTCAAATGAGATGTTTGTTAAAGCACTCTATTATACAGAAAGCACTGCATAAATGAGTTGCTATAAAATGAACTGATTAACAAAGTCACACATCCTTTAGCTATTTCTTGGGAGTACCATAATTCCAGGGCAGCCTGTACCTAACCCTAACTGGAGCTTGTCTATCTAGTGGGTGCCTAGAGAACTCTCACAACTGAGTGACTGACACAAGACTGTCCATACTCACTTGAGAGCCCGGTTCGGCTTGTCGGGAAGAATAGCTGTGAAATCACTACATGAATCTGATTTGTGAGACAGACATCCCAGGCGAGTCCTCATTCCTTTGTTCCTGCAACCAAGAACAGGAGCAAAAGGAAGAGAGAAACTGTAATAAAAAGAGCGATCAACAGAAAGGGTTCCTAGGGGTGCACACAGAAAGCACTGAGAAGCTCACTGGCTCACACAACCACCCCTGAGATTTCATGAGCAAAAGGGAAGGAACCAGAAAGATCAGCAGCAGCATTATCTGACTACCTGAATACATAACAGGTACCTTTCCCCTGGAGATCTAGTGCTTTTTAAAGCTTCTACAGCAAATTGGTGGTAAGTCAGTCAATGAAGGTCGTCAGCTCCGAAGACTTTCTAAATCAGGTTTCCCCATTGGGAAAGGAGATACAGTGATGTCAGAATAACAATCTGCATCTTTCCCTCCCTACAGAAGGTCAGAGTAAGCAACTGTTCCTCATTGTAAAAAGGCCCATGAAGCCCAAGGAAGGGCAGAGCAAGATCAAGCCTCATCAATTACCATTGTCTGTACTGGAGAGACACACAGATCATGGCAATGAAGGCTTAAAATGGCGGCAATGAGGTCTCAAGATGGTATGGAGTTGAGCAGAATGAGGAAGTCCTCTGTGATTATGACTAGTGATGGGGCTAATTATTGAAATCCTTCATCAAACCAAACATCTTCTGATTATGTTAGCACTAAAAACCAGTAGAGGTTAAAGAGGGGAGGGGAGCAGTAGCAATTAATGCATTCAGCAGTTAGGATCCTATTTACAACTCCAATCATTTCATTAACTAAGTTCTCTGCCTTCATTAACATCAATTGGTGCAAATCAAAATGGTAACACATTTTAATCTCAATAACTCACCTATTGCTTGCATTTATTAGCAAGGACCTGGCCTCAGTCAATATTTTCATATATGATAACTGATGGGCAGCTCACATGCTCCATTGGTATCTTTGCGTTGCTAGGAGACCTCAAGGAAGATACCCAGCACATTGGGTAGAACCCCTATCATGAACTTATGGGAGGACACAGATGAGATTTACAGAGTATGAGGAGGCCTCTATGGGTTCTGATCTATACCATTGGAGGGAATTCTCACATCAATGAACTCACAGATTCATCTGAGTGTTTAAGGGTAATCATGATCAAACCATAGGACATCTAAGCTGACTCTAGAGGCAGAATAGTATAATTGATGGAATGGAACGCTGGATTCATGGTTAGGAAGACCTGTGTTCAAATTCTGACTATGACACTTATTGGTATGTGACCATGAGGCAAGTCACTTAACTACTCTGACCCTTGATTGTAAAATGGAGATAATAAAACACCTTTGCCCACAGGGTTTTTTGTGAGGGTCAAACAAGGTAATGCATGTGAAGGGTTTTGCAAACTTCAAAGCACTACATAAAAATGACCTATTATTATTCATTATGATAGAATCTAATGAGTAATTTTGCTCATTGCTCTTCCCTGCTGGAGACTTTAGCACTTTCTGGTCTCTTATTGCCCTATGTTGTACATTACTATAAGGCTGGAAAGCCAAAAAGTGCAAGAAGGATTCTCATTAGTGGGCCACATACATCACCCTCTCCCAAAGAGACAAAATCTCAAGCTCAGTTTCATACCACTTTCATATATTCAGAATTTTTATTTCATTTATAAGGGAAGTTATTATTATTGCAAAGCAATAATCCTGGAGGTCAAGGGAGGTTTTGGAACAGTAGTCTTTCAAGCCTTCTCTTCCCTATCCATTGGTCCCAGTGACTTCCCACCCAGTGGCCCAGAAAAACCCTCTTCTCTAGCCTTGCTCTGCTTTGCTGCATCTCAGGGAGGCTAGGTGCAATGGAAGCACATTTCTATGCCACATTCTACCTCTTCATAACCATTCCAGGTCCAGAACATTTGAGTCTCCATTAAGGCTCCCCCCTCCAATAGACAGTTAGGGCTGCATGTCCTGTCCTCCCACCACTTCCCTCAGTTCCCATTACTAAGCCATTTCTTTCATTGCTCTATAAAATATTGACCATAATAGTTCTCTCTCCCCTCTAATGGTAAGTACCAGGGCATAGCAACTGGCTGTTACAGATGGCTAGGACTTTTGGTAGCGTGAGTCCTGTGTGGATAACAAAGCGTTTAAAATGACTAATTAAGGGCTCTCAGATGGTCAAATTTAGTGAGTCCAAGTAAAGACTGTCACAAGTCATTCTATAGGCCAGCGACCCAGCCTTCAATAATTTACCACATCCACTCTGAGCTTCAGGATCTTGAAAGTATGACATGAAGTTGAATAACTGCTCCCTTGGAATTATTTCCAGTGATTCTAAGATGAAGAGTTATGTACTGGGTTTGAATGCAAGCTATGTACTAGGTTTGAATCCAAGCTCTTCCACTTCTTAAAGGTGAAACCACCTTGCTAAGCCTCAGTTTTCCTCCTCAGCAAAATGGATATGCTACTTATACTACCTTTCTCAAAAGGTGAGGAGAGGCTGGGACAGGAATTTGAGCAAATCATAATTTGCAAATCTATATGGGCTAATTGGCAAGGCCCTGCAGGGTATAGTATTACCTGTGTCAGAAACCACCTTGGGGCCCTTAGGCAGCAACTTTCCCTAATGGTGCTCTGAGAATGAACAAGTCTTATTTTCTTTCTAGGCTAGGTCAAGCTTCAGGTTGTATATGACCTGTTTAGTTCAAGTGGAAGAAATTGGAAATAATAGGAGAATGGAGGGCCAAAGATCAGCATTAGGTTTATTATAGCCTGAAGGGCTTGGAGAAAACCAACTTGTTCTCTTCCCTGAAGCAGCTGTCCTGGCCAATACTATGGGAGTCTTCCAATTAACTAAAAAATGTAATAAGAACAAATAACTTAGCACAGTTCCTTGGGCTCCCATCCTCATGCCTGTCAGTCATCTGCATGATGGGAGCGTACCTGGCAGCCACAAGGTTTGGGGCTAAAGAATCCCCTACCTGGAGCAGAGGACATTGTACAAAATCACAATCCCAGTTAGGGGACATACAAGGCAAAGCAGTGCGGGGGGAGCGGAGAAAGCTTGAGTGGGGCAGAAGCGCAGGGGAGAGCAGGAGGCGAGGAAGAAAGGAAAGGAGGTGGGGCAAAAATGCACGTCATGGTTCAGTTACCTCCGTGGCATCAGTAAGGCCGCCATACAGGCATCCGGCTACGGGCAACCCTTTAATTGGCTGGCTTGCAGGGCCCTCAAGGCAGGAGGTAAGACTGCGGGGAGGAGGGGTTTGCCCTTTCACGTCCTCTCACCTAAAATCAAAGAATCCTAGGTAAAAGAGGGGACCTTGGCCCTCTCAAACCCCTTCACTCCCTCTTCTCTCTGATAGGGTTTGAGCCCGAGCCATCCAGGCATGGGGCGGGGAGAGGGAGGAGGAGGGTGGCAATGTGTCCTCAGTCAAGTGTGCCCACCCAGGGTTGTGCTGTCCAAAATAAGCCAAGTGGACTCAGATTGCTTTAAGATTGGCCAGGAATTGCTGTTTCCCAAGCTACCGGCCATCATTTAGAGGAAAGTGGGACATATGGCCCAAGGGAAGGACTGAGCTGGCAGTCCCCAAAACACTGTTCTCTCTTCTTTCCAAGGGCAAAACTGAGGTGACTAATGGGTGAGGCAAATCTACACTGATGATGCTTGACTGACCCTTTCCCCATCCTGCCTTCCAACAGACCCAAAATGGTGTGCTTGGATGGCATTCCGTTCTTATAGCTCCCTCCAAGTTAGTCTATGATGGGAGAACACAGTCCAGGGAGGGTATGAGTAGGAAGAAGGTTGGAAAAACTCCAAGGACGTCTTTTCAGGTGCTAGCAACCCACCAGCTATCTCCTTCGCAAGGCTACGAACAGAGCCAGGATTAAGGGGAGACAGATAGGCAAAGGTCTAAAGCACAACACAAGAGGGGCTTGACAAGGGATGCTTCTTAATATTGGTTTTTATAAATGCTAAATTTTTGCAGCCAGAAAATTCTGCTCTCCATGGTTCAAAGGGACTTATTTTGTGGTACGTCTAGTCATATGTGTTATCCAGAAGACTAATAGGAAAAAGGGAGAATTTTCAGATATGGGGGTAATCTTCCAATGCAGAGGGATACAACTTTCAAACCTTGCCTCAGGTGTGCAAAAGCCACATCTCAACTCTGTGTGTGTGTGTGTGTGTGTGTGTGTGTGTACACAAATCCTATGTGTGTCAGCAAAGAGGCTATCTTATTCTGAGGCAACCAGTCTCCCCTAATCTCATAGGTCCCTGACCATTTCTGACCAGAAGGGAAAGATTATTAGAGGTGTATTAAGAATGATTGGCTTGTATTTCCTTCCTTATGAACTGTTCAGCAAGGACATAGCCTGGTATATTTCTACCCGTCTACTTCCACAAAGGTAACTGGAGAGATGAGAAAGAAGAAAAATCTAGTTTTAGAGGGGGCATCCCATCCACAAATAGTTCCTCAAAGGAACCCCAGCAATAAACATGGAGTGTATTTGCAAAGCTTTTAAATATATATTAATTAATTAGCATTTTAAGAGGCAGTGCACCTCTTTCACATAGCTGTGTGACCCTGAGCATATCCCATTACCTCCCTTTTCCTTGGCATCCCTAAGTCTCTTAAGTTGCAGAGCAAGTAGTTTTCTGATGGCAATACAATCACCAATATGGCTAAAATAAGTCTCTTGAGTTTTTATGGTTTTAAAAATTCTTTACTCCAGAAAATTAGGGAATTGTGTTCCAAGTCAGAGAACACATTTTCCCAATCCCTGTCCTGACCACTGTCTTCAATCATGCTCCTTCATGGCATAAAGTCATAGTTACAAGCTAAAAGGGGAAACATAGAAATCAATGCTTCCAGCCCTTTTTGCCCTGGTCTTCCTCCTGACCAGAGTGGAGGCTATATCTAAGGGAAAGACACATTTGCAGAAGGTTTCCTTTCTCACTGTCACAGTGACAGTCAGGAGCTCAGTCCCTCGTTCCCTGATGCCCCAAACAGAGCAGGCAAGGTCACTTGAACACACCTGACAAGGCATCTCTTGGCACACTCTAGCTCAACCTCACTTCTCTTCCCATTTCCCCTGCAGTCTCCCCCCACCCCCCCACTCAAAATGACTCACATCTTCATCGGATTCCCTTCCCTAGATCTCTTAGCTGCCTGCTGTCAGACACTGTTTGTCACCCTAATCGACCCCCCTCCATTTCTCCCCAGATCCTCTGTCCCAAACAAGGCAACTCTTTTGTTCCCTTGATAAACCTAGCATCTGATCCCATTCAGTGAGAATCTCTAGGTTGCCATATCCCAAGCCCCCTCTTCCTTCCACAGATGTACTCACTACCCTCACCAGTTCCAAAGCCAGTGGTTTTGCTCAGCCATCAGAGTCCCGATACCCAAAGTTTACCCCAAAACCCCCACATGGTGGTCTGAGGTACAAAGGGGAAGGTGAGGTATTTGGTAGCACCCCCAAAGGGAACACAGCCTCTTGGCTGCCTCAGGGAAGCCAACCTCCCACATTCAATAGGAGGGCAAAGGGAAAGAGAAGGATGGAGAGCCCCCCTCCACCCAAGGAGTAAGAAAACCAAGGGTTAAAAGAAAAAAAAAAAGCTGAGACTAGAGAAAAGGTAAAAGCCACTGAGAGTTTCAATAGGGAGAAAGCACTCAATAGAGAGGTAGGTTAAAGATAGGTTAGTTAAATATGGAAAATGCACTCTGCACACATTGGCACCCAGATGAAGGAGAAGAATGAAGAGAAAGAAAGGAAAGCCATACTCACTGCCTTTGACCTGTCCTCATGGCCTGTGGGTCTTTGCCAACCAGATGGTCAGAGAAGCTGCTGGTCAAGGAGCTCTGAGGAGAGAGCAAATCTATCTCTTAGCAGTCAAATCCTTGGCGGGGTGAAGAATGCATGCCTGTGGTTGAGTGCACACACACACACACACACACACACACCCTCCCACCACTTTTGCCAGGCAGCAAGCAGTACAGATGAAAGCTCCCCTCTCTGCTTGTCACATCCAGTAAATACTCAAGCATCCCACACCCAGCAGGAGGTGGCTTGGCTAGGCTTTGCCACGCGGTGTCTGCTCACCCATTTTCATTGGAAGCATGAAGGAGGTACCCACCTGATCAGAGCCCTGCCTGGCACTCTTCCTCCTTGCTAACCTGATTCTCAGATGCTTGGGCTTCAGTTAAATGAAAAGGAACACATCCCAACCTTGCCTCAGCACCAGGAGACTTTGAGGGGTGGAGTGTGGGTGTGGGTGGAGGAGGAGAGGGGAGGGGGAGTTCAGATATAAGGATTCCTTCCTCATGCCCCACCCCCACCTCAGCCCTGACTTAACTGGAGATAGAGCATCCAATCGGTCTGGCTTTAATGAGCTCTGCTGCAGTCAGAGAGCCAGTTGCTACTCTGGGATCAGGAATCACAGAATTCTTGTCCCAGACAGCTGCCGACAGCAGGGACCATGGCCGAGCCAAACCTCCTAATGAGCAGGGGGCTATCGGGTGCTTTAATAGTTCTGAGGTGATGTGACAAATGCAGAGAAGGCTCTGGTGTACAGGTAACCCATCTGACTCCCACTCCCTCATGAGGTGGCTAGCCTTCCTATTGATACTGCACCTCATGCCAGAGCTGAACCCCACGGACCTGAGGCATTCCCATGGGGTACCATATTTCAGCCACCTCCTGCCTGCAGATAAGCATTCCCCTCTCCTCCCCTCCCCCCCGACCCCTGCCATGTCCCTGCTCTTCTCTTAATGAGAAACTTCCATAATCTCTACCTGCCCAACCCTGCTCATTTATCACCCTCTGCTCTCACCTGGATCTTCCCACAGTGAAAAATCACCTCACTTTCTCTGCCATCACCTAGCAGCTTCCTGCAATTTGCATTTGCAGAATGTGGAGACTCTCCCCTTTGTTGTGCCCAGTTCTGACATCTCCCCCATTTTCTAGTCTACCTTCTTACCATACCTCTTCTGAGGTTCCTTGACCACTCAACAGGGAGCTCTAGGTAGATTTAACTTCATAGGACAAGTCAAATCTACACTCTCCCTGGCTTTCTCCCTGGGTTCCCTGGTCTAGGGTTCTCTTGCTCTAAGCACACATCCGATCTGAAAAAAAGATGTCTGGCATTCAGCTCCACCTGCAAGCACCAAGAAGGAACTTACTAGAGCTGGGAGGAATCCCTAAGGAAAGGTGCTGTGAGGACTTGGAAGAAGCCCACTTTTCACCCCAGGATTCTTCATGCAAAACCTGCATTCTGTCAAGAGAGTGAGTGATACAGCGGTCCCCGCCTGCTGCATGATGACAGGGGCCAAATATAAATTCCACTGCTGTCTCTACAGTGACTCATTGTCTCACTCTAATAATGTCCATGGTGTCACTCGGTTCAGCAAAGGGGCCTTGGTGGTACAAGATGTGGTTTTTACTTTCTTACTGTCGCCAGGTTTCAGCAATGTTGCTAACCAAGCATCAGTTCCTTAAAAAAGAAATAAATAACCTAGCAGACTCCAGGCTTTATATCACTGTCCTGGGACCCTGTACTATGAAAAAAATAGACTGACAGATAGAAATTGTGAAGATGAATTCTGTGAAGAAGCACCTTGCTATAATGCAGATAATGCCACAAGTCAAATTGCGGCCATACACAGTTATACTTATCAAGCATCTGGCACCATTATACAAAGTCCCTAGAAGTCGGGTGCTATTCTGGACTGCCACCAGAAATCCAAACTTCACAGAACAATTTAAGGTTAGGGTTAAGTTTGGATTCAGTCAAAGAGCCACATTTGAGGACCTAGAGGGCCACATGTGGCCTCAAGGCCACAGGTTCCCCACCCCTACCCTAGACCTTGTGGGGATGAACACCCATTCCACCCATCTCCTGTCAGTACTGTACTAGTAAAACACTTGGTTTTACCCTATGTGAAAAAAATTTCCATTTACATCTCTGGAACACTTTGGGGTTTGCAAAGTAACTTTCCAAAGTACTTTCCTCAAAACAGCTCTGTGAGATAAATAACATAAGCATTATTTGTCCCATTTTATAGACAAGAAAGTGAAGCTAATAGAGGTCAAAGTGTTCACACAGTTTGTACAGCTGTCTAGCATTACAGCTGGGATTCAAATCCAGATCTCCTAGTGAGTGAGTAAGCCTCTCAATTGATTTGACAAATAAGTTAATCAACAAACATTTTTTAAGTATCTTCTGTGGGTCAGGTACTATGCTAAGTGCTGGGGACATGAGGCAAAATAAAAAAATAAAATAAAATAAAATAAAATACAGTCCCAGCTCTCAAAGAGCTCACAGACTAATGAGAGAGATCTACTTGTGCAAACAAGATAGAGACAGGATAAATTGGGTGGGTTGTCTCAAAGGAAAAGTACTAAGATTAAGGAAGACTGGGGAAGGCTTCCTGAAGAAGGTGGGACTTTTTAAACAAGACTGGAAGGAAGCCAGGTAAGCTGGAAGGCAGCAAGGAGGAAGGCAAGTGTTCCAGGGAGAGGGGGACAGCCAGTGAAAATGCATGGAGTTGTAAAACAGAATAGTTATGTTCAAAGAGCACCAAAGAGGCAAATGACACTGGATTGTGGGCTACCTGGAGAGGAAGAAGGGTTAAGAATACTGGAAAGGTAGGAGGGTGGTCAGGTTATGAAGTGCATTAAAAATCAAACAGAGGATTTTATATTTGATGCAAGAGGTGATAGGGAGCCACTGGAGTTTATTGAATGAGGGAGGTGGGGAAGGTTGATATGGTAAGACCTGCATTTTAGGAAGCTCAGTGTGACAGCTAAGTAGAGGATAGACTGGAATGATGAGACACTTGAAGCAAAGACACCAACTAGCCATAAAACGTCCTTGCATTTGAATGGATCATGGAGAAGAGTATTAGTAACATTAGCAAAGCCTTACTAGGTGGATATATAGAATGCCATATGCACATATGTCTAGCAGGAAATCAATGCAAATTTATTGACTTCATTTCTACATAGGAAGAGAATTGTCACCAAAACATGATAGTTCCCCAGTGCCATATGAGTTTCAAAATATGTACAATTTGTTTCAAACAAAAATATAGCCACTTTGGTTTCCAAAGATAAAAACTGACTTCACATAGAATTTCTTCACTTTGCCCATTTGCTTGAGCAATTGTGTCATAGTTATATGCTTGGGGTGTTTTTGACCTTTGATTCCGTCAGAATGGCGAACTCCCAGAGGGAAAACTCTATACCAACACAGCACTCATCGAACATAAAATACTGTTTAGTTTTTAATGCTCTTTATAACCTGGCGCTCAATTTCCAACTTACTGTCAATACCTGGAGAGCAGAGAGGATAAGTGATTTGCCTAAGGTGATATAGTCAGTATGTATCAGAGGAAGGGCTTGAACCCTGGTCTTCCTGACTTAAAGACTACCTTTTTGACTGACTCTAATAAGATGAAATTTAAAAGACATAAATGTAAAGTCTTATATCTAGGTTCAAAAAAAAATCAACTTTACCAGTACAAGATAAGAAAGACATGGCTGGACTACAGTTCTGAAATAGATCTAGATTTTGTTGGCCCATAGAATCAAGATAAGTTCAATATGATAGCCTAGTTCTCCGGGTCCAAACTGGGCAGCTAGGTGGCACAGTGGATAGAGTGCCAGTCTTGGAGTCAAGAGAATCTGAGTTAAAATTTTTCCTCAGACACTTACTAGCTATGTGACCCTGAGCAAATCATTAACCCTGTTTGCCTCAGTTTCCTCATCTGTAAAATGAGCTGGAGAAGGAAATGGCAAATCCTTCCAGTATCTTTGCCAAGAAAACCTTAAACGGGGTCACAAAGAGTCAAACATGACTGAAACAACTCAACAACAACAACTGGGGCCAAGATAGAAAGTCAATGTCTGCTACTAATCCTCTGGGACAGCCCAGGTACCATTGGCCCTTCAGAGGGAGAGTTTTCCCAGTATCTCTAGCAGACAAGGGCTGAGTTCATCAGGAGCCAGGGAAATCCATGCCATTGTCACAGAAGATACACACACACACACACACAAAATGTAATTAAAGGGATGACAGAGCGAGTGAATTAGATTTCATAATGCAATATTTTAGAAAGCCATAGTGACGTAGGAGGTTTATGGACAAGCCCATCAAAAATGGCCCACATGCATTTAGTTAGGCAATATTCCACCCAGGACTGTACAATATTTAAAAGCTTTTCATAAAAACAGTCATTTATGTATTAGATTTCAATTTGGTCTGGTGTGCTAATGCTCTGTTGCAAATCTTTTAAAAGCAAGCTCCACTTCTGAACGATCCTAGTAACGGCAGAAACATGAATCAACATAAACTGTGATGATTTGGAGTTACCATGGAGACAGGCAGGACACAAGGAAGGGCAGGACTGAAAGATGCCACTTGGCCAAAGGAGTTTGCTCCCCAAATGCCTTCACTTTCAGCCCACCATTCACACAGCACTCTCAGCTTTTACCTTTCTATTTGCTCATCCTCAGTCCAAGCATCCAGCTGTCTTGTTTGCAATGATGGTGCGTCAGAACAGACATAGCGAGAAATGTTACCTCTATGAGTTTATAGATCTGGTACCCTACCTCATTCAGAGTTGCACCAAGTCGGCAAGCGTTTATCAAGTGCTTTTTATGTGCCAGGCACTGTGCTGATGTTGGGGATACAAATACATGCAAAAGGAAACGCAATTCCTGCCCTCAAGGAGCTTACAGCCTAACAGGGTATCCTAACATAAAAAGGAGCTGAAAAGGAGTGGGAGGGAGGGGGGAACAGGCATGGTGGTGAAGTCCTGAGATGAAGGATAGCTGTCCTTGGCCCTTCCTCAAAATGGAA